AAATCGAGGGGTTTTGAGTCCTGAGTTTAAGTCAGAGCACTTGCAGAGAATTTATAGATGGGCAGTAAGAATTTATTGGTGGGTCACTAATTGTTACTGGGTGCCCACACTGCTGTTATTGTTTACTTTTCAAATATTACATAGCCCAGTCGGTCGGTTTCAAATGCCATCTATTCCCAATTAAAGGACTGGTGTAGTGCCGATGGGCTGTCATTTTGAGCTCTCATTTTGAGCTCTCATCACTGCCTAGCCCACGGCATTTATTTCTTCAGCAAAGTAAGAGTCCAGCCATTTAAATGTTTGCAGCAGTTTGAAGCAGTTTTAGGTTTCTCTTTTCATTAACTGCTGTCTGGCAAGATAATGCGATACATAAATATAAAAACACCTGAATACCACTGCTACCAACTTTTAAGTATTTCAATATGTCCATTCTCATAAGCACAGGAAAATAGCTGCTGGCAACAAACCAACCCATTCTTTCCTGAATTGTGATCAAAGATATGTTTTTAGAAAGTTCACCCTCCCAATACAATCTATATGCTTCACAAAGATTATGCTTTATTATGGTATTGTGTAAAATTTGATTTCTTTCTTATACCATTTGCTTTCCAAACCCACAGTGCTAAGCAAATCTTTTCACCCCAAGGAAAGTCTGAATGCTCAAACGGTCTGTCTTGACTTAATAAAACAGTTAATGTATTAAGATTCTGTCTGGTACACTAGACAAAATTATTGAGTTATTGATGATGGGAATAGCCTTTAGGGGGCTGGCATATGCTTCAATATATCCTCCTAGATTTTCCACTGGTTCCTGAGTTATTGAGGCATTTTGAGCAGAAGCAGGTGATGGCAATTTTGGTATTGCCATATTGGTCTAAGAGACTGTTGTTCTCCTCCTTAGAGTTGTAATAGTGCTGCCCATCTTGTGGTGCACAGGAAAATACTTTACCCAGACCTGGCGAATTTCCACTTGACCGCATGCTATTGAACGGACCTTCGGATATCATAACAGGGACTCCCTTCATTGGTTGTAGATGAACGCTTTACCTGCGCTAAGGAAAGCTTCCTTGAGAGCCACAAATGGAAGCTTTCGGATTTAGGCAGCTGAGGTTTGTCTACAGCTCCCCTCTGAACAAATCAGGCTTTTGGCGTGCAGTGTGCCCTTAGTTTTTGGAATCTCCTTTTGGCACCTTCATTCACTACGTTGCAATCCGTCTCCAAATGAAATGTGTGCAGCTATCCAGGATATTCTTCCTTCTGGTTTGCTTGAGGACATTCCTGGTTTTTGAGTTGAATCAATCCTCTTGTTTTATCCTGGAACGTCAACTTAATTCTTTCTGAGTCGATGCTTCCTCACTTTGGGTCTTTTGAGTTCGTATTGTTACCCTGAAAAACCTGCTTTGTTAATAGTGTTGTTTTCAACCTGGCAGTTCAGCAAGCTTTCGGCACTGTTTGGCCACCGCCTCATTTAATTTGGCTGCAGTTGGATAGTTCTCAGACTTTACCCGAGGTCATCCTATCAAAGATGAATGCTGGTTTAGTATTTTACATTACCGAGGGACCAGGAGTATAGCCAGCTCCCTAATAGCATTACAATCTTTAAGGGCAGTCCAAAATTTGACTCCTTGAGAGCCTTTTGTTGAACAAAAAAAATTGTGTTTTATCAGCTGCGATATAATCTTAATTTATGTTGCAGCTGATGGCAACTGATTCGATTTTCAATGCTACCTCTTGGTGGTTTGGGATAGCGAAGTTCAGATCCGTAAATCCCATATTATACTGCATTTTTATCACTATATCAAAGGTGAAAATTGCATTGCAATAATACTACATGTGAAGTATAAATGGGGCTCTAATGGGAAAAGGGGAAATTTCAGATTTTTGAATGTGCAAAGTACATCGCTTGGGGGACTTGGGACTGCTTTGTTTGTGTGGGCGGTGTGTGTGTGTGTGTGTGTGTGTGCGTGTCCTTTTGCTCCATCATTGGTGGCCGAGTTTTCACCCATTTTACCCCTGCTCTCTGGAACTCTCTTCCTAATTCCCTCCTTTTCATACACTCCCTCTTCTTCCTCTCTGTTTTCAAGCCCAACCTAAAAATCTGTTTCTTTGACCGTGTCTTCGGCCACCTCCCTACTGTCCTATCTCCCATCTCGCTCCAGCTCCCGCTTCATCTCTGAAAACCACCGAGGCATTTTGCCACATGAAAGGCGCTACGTACGGGCAAGTTGTTGATTAAAAATGACTCAGTTGAGAGTTCAAACGTGATATTGTTCACCCACCTCAACCAAGTCCTGGAAACTCTCCAGTAATAACCGCACAGCTACTTTGTAATTATAATTGTGTTTCATGTATGCTGGGAAAACAACTGACAAGGTCGACTGAAAAAATTGAGATAGTACAAATTCTCAAGAAAACATCATCCTTGTCTGATGCTCAGCCTTGTTTGATAGGCGCCAGAGAAATACCACCTACTGCTTTCGGACACCATACAGTCCACAACCATAAAGAGCCGTTAATTTGATGAAAATGGCCTACTGCGTGTGCCACAGCGGAGCTTTTCCAGCATTAGAAAGAGGAGGCAAAGCTGTTATATTTGTACACAACATAACTAGTGCAACACTACAGGAGTTGCTAAAATTTGAGTGAAACCTCCTCTTACAAGAGAGTTGCTTCAGCTGCGTTTTAAAAATGGTTTATCAGTTTAAATAATCTACACAGATTATTAGCAGCAAAGTTTTTAGCAATGCAGTTTTATGGAATTATTTTCTAGACAGCCCTGTTGCCAGGAATCTTTATGCAGAAATTCAAAAGTAATTAATTGTCACTTGTTCAGCCAGGGTGACTGGAGCATGAGTAGGCTTGCCACAAATTTATGACTTATCCTTTGTTAACTCGATGCAAGTTCTTCAATTAATCCTGTGCTCCACGCAATCACCGGGGTCAAACTGGCTAGACGTCTGCTGTTCAGCGCCTTCAACCAATTACCCCACCGCCCACCTCCAACCCCACATCCTTCCCGAATCCAATGCCTGGCTCGGGTGCAAAGCCTAAACTGTCCAGCGCCTTGGGACGTCCTCCCAACATGAGAGGCGCTATATAAATGCAGTTTGTTGTTGATATGGTTCATTGGTTGCTTCCAGTGCACCCTGTTACGGAACATACATAATATGTAAGGTCATTAAGATAGAATGAATTGGGTGTATAGCATATAAGTGTTTTTAAGTTTGCATGCGTCGTCCAATACTGTTAATTACATATCTGCTGAAGACATCCTAGAAGAAGCTCCATCCTTGCTCTAAGCATCCTTTCTTCTGAAGGGCACCCATGTACATCTTTATTTTGTAATTTTTTTATTGTGAAGGTGATTTGTTTTGATTAAATTACCCATTTAATCAGCTGGCAGCAAATTAGCTGCTGTATTCATCGGCAAATCAACATTTTCTTTGTTTCTAATCTCGTTCTGTAAAGTGCTTCGCAAAATTTTGCTTGTGTGAAAAAGGGCCTTAGATAAATGTAGGTTGTTAATAGTTCCACTCCCGAGTTTTCAGTTATCTTGTTAGGTGGTTCGCACTTGTGAAAGTAAATCAAAAATAATTTCCGGTGCGATCTGATTGTTCCGTTGATAAATCTAGGTCATACTCCTGTCTCCTGATCACTGGTAATTTATTAGAACAACTTTTTTGTCAGTCGGATTCAAATTAATGGGGTGTGAGTAGAAGAAACAGAAAAGTGATAATGAGTTTTGATCTTAAGTGTGGAAAAACGTGAATGCAATTATATCAAACTCACTGGTTCTGCTCTTGGCTTTTACCTGATTTGCAGTCATCATAATAATAATCCTTGCATTTGATATAACGCCTTAACACATTGTTAAGACGTCTCGAAGCGCTTCAAGAAAGTGGGTTGACTGTATTTTGTGGGCGAAACGTGGCAGCCAATTGCGCACAGTGGTGTCTCACAAAGAGTCATGGATTGAGTGACCAAATTACGTTTTTTTAATAAGCATTCTAGAGTGTACACTGATTTTTTTTTAAAATCATCTAATTTACTGAGATGCAGCCAATGCTTTCTTGTGCTTTGTTTTATGCACAATTTAGCTGTCAACCGGACTGAATTTTCGGAAGCTATTTGACCACGGAAGGCAACACAGCCAAAAGTGATTCTCTCCTTATCCAACATCTGCATATTTGCTTTACATCTATGTGCCTTCCAAAACCCTCTGATAGTGTTTTTTATTAAATGGCTTTTTAGCTCCCTATATTCGGGGTTCGGGTTAATTTAGATGTCAGCCTGGCTCAATTGGTACCTTGTCATCTCCCTTGTCAAGTCAGAGATTATGGGTTAACAACAACAACTTGTATTTATATAGAGCCCTTCACGTAGGATAGCGTCCCGGAGTGTTTATAAGCAATCGCATCAGGACTTTTGAGTTCAGAGTCTTAGCTGACCCTCCAGTCCAGTGCTGGGGGAGCCTGCATTATCTTGCATTAGGTGCCGTCCTTCGGATGAGAGGTTAAACTGAGGTCCCGCATGCCTGTTCAGATTGACACGAAAGATTCCATGACACTTTTTTTTCTGGGTGTCCTGACATCAATTCTCAGATGAATAAAAGTTCTTTACATCCTATCGTGGCTGCTTGTGGGAGATTGCTGTGTGCAAATCGACTATCACATACGCCTACATAGTATATATTCGCTACACTCTACAGTAATAATAATAATCCTTGGGTTTGGGATAATCCCTTTCACAGGATTTTACTGTGAAGTGGAGTGACTATATTTGTTGGTGAAGCGCACTTCCCAAAGGGCAGACAAAAGTCTGTGTATGGGTCCCTCCAAGCGGGCAGCGTATTTGAGAAAGTGGGTGGGGGTGGAGGATTCATAAAATGGAAGCTTCAGTTCATAATCTGCTGTACAGTCAAAGAACAAAACTTGTGCCGTTTCACTCTTATCTGACCTGTGTGATCTCATCAAATTTTCATTGTACTGTTTTTCTTCAAGGTCTCTCAATATGGACTTTGAGAACCAAGACAAAGAGAAAGATGGGACGGGTTCACCTGGTACTTTCAATGGAAACAATACAAACAATAGTAAGCGTGTTACACGAATCAGCGACGGCGTTTCGTCTTTGTTTCATTGCATATAGTGGAGGATTTCTTTCTTACCCGTAATCTTGAATGTTATAAACTTGGGAAGCGCAAAGATTGGCAAGGTGCTGGTGTGTATGGAGGTCCACTCTAGGATATCATGGGGTTGAGCTGATTCTCTGCAGGTTAGAGCGAGGATTCCAGCCACTGGGCCTCTCAAATGACACGAGAGCTAGCAATTGCAATGCCCCAGTGTGTTTGGGGTGTCTTGAGAAAATAAATTGTCCCCCCCCCCCCCCACTCCTTTTCAGAAATACAACCTTTTTAGCTCTAATTAAAACAATCACTTAAGGAAAAACTATTGGATACAGTAAATGTTGCAATTAACATTTAACTGAAATTGCAATGATTTTTCTGGTTATCTAGTCAAAAATAATGGCTCGTAATGCGGTCAAGTGGGTGGAGCCACTTTAAATGGCCTCTTCCAAATATTTGGGCTAAGTGATTTAAAATGTGATATTTTTATAGTATGTGTATAAGACTATCTCTTGTTCACTGCATTTCAATGTTTAAGAGGGCTGAACCTAACTTCCACTGGGTGTATTCCAACCAGTATAATACTTTTGACTAATTGTCAGTGTCTTCAGGCATGTATACATTAAACCTCACTGAGGTATTGTCAATTAGCCCCATTCATTTAATATGACTTTTGCAAATTATGATTTATGTCAAACCTGCATAGAACATAAACACTCTAGTTACGGGACTTGGGTATATGTAACAACTTGGGCAATTATATAGTCTATTACACAGATCAGACTTGTGCGAGTTTTACTGTATTTGACTCCAGTATTTCTTTGCTCACCTTTGCAATTATCATTCACATCAACAGCCCACTTTCTAAAATAAATGCAAGAGGTTTTTAAAGTTATGTAAAGGGGATGCTTGAGTTATATGTTGGGGATCCTTTGTTTTGGACTTTTTCTATCTCCAGGTTAGAATAACATTCATATGGAAAAAATATAATTGGATACAATCAGGCATGTAGAGAAATGCACCCTCTACTCTGCCCTATCGACTTATCCCAGGACATTGCAAGAGCAAACTCTGTTCTACCTCTGTAATATTTTCTACTTCCCACCCCAAGCTCATGTAGCCTGTAACTGAGATTGCTAATTCAATTCTGAGTTAAGGGTTGGCTCAAACTCCTATCACATGAGGTTTAAAAGCTTTCAATCTGGGCTTCATTAGAATCCAGATTACAGAAGTTNAAAAAAAACTAATGTACTTAACCAACTGTACCATGTTGTGCTTTACAAGTGATGACATTTTACTTTTATCTAACCTGTCCTATTAAATTGGCATTTCTATGTTTTATAGGCATCCAGACTATAGATTCTACACAAGCTCTGTTTCTTCCAATAGGAGCTTCGGTGTCGCTCTTAGTGATGTTCTTCTTCTTCGATTCGGTTCAAGTGGTGTTCACAATTTGCACTGCAGGTATATATTACACTTTTGAGTACAAAACCCTCATTCTTACCTTCAAGGTCCTGCTCCCCCCTACCTCTCCGACCTCATAACCCCATATCAGCCTGTCCACTCCCTCTGCTCTGCCTGCTTCAGGTCCCCTGCCCTACAATTAATTGGTGGTCGGATATTCAGCATCTCTACCCCAACACTCTGGAACTCTATCCCGGAATCCCTCCGACTCATGCCCACTCTCTTGTCTCCTTCAAGTCCCGTCTGAAGAACTTCCTCTTCGATCATGCCTTCGGCCACCCTCCCACCCCCTCAACTCTCCTCCTCTTCTGACCCCCTCCTCCTCTTCTGACCCCAACTCCCAGCTTGGGTCCAAAACCCCTGATTGTCCAGCGCCCTGGCACGTCTTCGACGTGAAGGGCACTATACAAATGTAAGTTTATTTATATTTCAGTGAGCGAGTAGTAAATGTATGGAACAGCTCCCTAGGGAGAGTGTGGAAGCAGAAAGTGTTGATACTTTCAAAAAGCAAATTAGTTAGATTTATTTTCGGAAATAATGTCTTGGGATAGAGTATACAGTTTGGGACATGACATGTACATGCGACTGCCAGGAGGGTGGAAGGCAAACTGGATGGACCTTGATCTTCTTTCTTCTAACAATTCTTATGTTTTTATAAAACTAAACGGAGCTTAGAAACTTCTGATTTAGAGGCAAGAAGGCTGCAATTGAGCCAGAACGACACCTTTTTTTAAAAAAAAACCAATCTTCAAGGGAATGTGGGGGTGGGTGGGGGGATCACATTAAAACAATCCTCCTGATTAATCATTCACCTCATAGCTGTTTGTGGTAATTTGTTGGCACAAATTGCTGCTACGTTTGCCTACAAAAAGAATCCATCGGATTTGACAGTAATTACCTGTAAAGTGCTTTTAGACATTTTTGATGTGCCGATGTGCTTTAAAAGCAGGTTGTTTTGCTTTCTTTTAGACCTGTCGTTCTACTTTGACTGGCTTGTTTTGAGTTTTTCGACAACCCCATCCCAATTAAACACAAGATTACAGAATAGACCTTTCTTTTCAGTCTTAAATAAACAACCCAACCTAAATGACCCTCTTCCTCTCCCCCCCCCCCCCGGAAAAAATCTGCATAAGTGTGGGCTTGACCTTTTTAAACTTGCACAGAATGGTATTTGTGTTTTGATTTCTTTAGAAGAAAGATAATATAATAATCCTTGCATTTGTTATAATGCCTTATCACGCTATCGAGATAGCTCAAACTCCTTCACATATACTGTAAAGTGTAAAATAATATAGTTCAAAGCAGGAGAAGATGAGGGAAGGGGGAAAAAGTAAACAAGCCATAATTCTGAAGCTGAGAACAGTGCATTTTTTTATCCCTGGCACCATGTTGCGTAACACTGGTGTAGTGGATGAGTCCAGAGCAGAGGAAAAAGGGTGGATGTTTTCAGCACAATAACGAATCTCCAAATAGCCTCGGATGAACTTTTCCCAATTTTTTTTAACCTTTCCCTTCCACTAGATGAATTATTTTCCACTGAGCAGCACCTCTTCTCCCCTCCCTCATCCTTCTGATTTTTATTGAACTTTTTTTGAAAAAAAAGAAAAAGCAAGCTTTCCACACCAGCTGTCCGCAACCTGTTGCTGGGCTAAAATACTTGAGAAATGGAACAAGATCAGAAAAATCTGCTTGTGTTGAAGGTTGTTTTTGTGTTAAGTGCCACATGTATTTTGCTAGCTTCCTCCCGGCTCACAATCTCTTAGACAGCAATGGGTATAACCTCCTCAATTATTGTACCATATGGCACCCGAAGAGAGGCCTTTTTTAATAGTACTTCTCTCCAGTGCATAATTGTAAACTCCTCTTTCTTGTAAAATCCCCCATTCCCTAGAAAAATTATCTATGAAACCTTATAGTGGAGGCACTTCCATCTAAGTTCTGATTTCAAATAAATACCGAGCCACGTGTGAGCGCATGGTGAAGGAATCAGGACACAGCTTGGGATTGGTGACGTTTTGTTCATAATAATACATAAAATAATCCTTGCATTTGGTTTGGGGCCTTATCACATCGTCAAATCTCAAAACACATTGACGTATTTACTGTAATTACTGTGTATTTTGTAGGCAGCCATGGCAGCCAATTTCACACACACTGATATACAACATACAGCTATAGAGAGAATGATCTGGAGGATTGTTGGCCAGGATATTTGGAGAAACTCCCTTCTCTGTCTGAACAGTGCACAGTGTTAACGTCTACCTGAACTGGCAGACGGGATCTTTGCGAATCTTGGTTTAACGGGAGCATCTGAAGAACAGCACCCCTGACAGTGCAGAACCCACCCCCAACTCTCACCACCGCACTGCACTTTGAATGACATGTGATTTTGAATAACCTGCTGGCGACTGTTTTTAAAATAGCAGCACTGTATAGAACAAATTATTCTCTTCGTAGCCAAATGGATAACAACTGGTTTGCCTCATAGGATCATAGCCCAAGAGCTCATTTGTTTGGAATAGGAGAAAATAATGTAGATTAAGTAGATCTAAAGCAATGTCTATATACTGTAGGCAACCCCTGTAGCCTACACAGCCCTTGTAGTCGGTGAGTTTGATTAGTAATTAGTGTCTAACTTTGAACATTTCTGATCACTTGCTGCCTATGGGTGTACAGTATTTACATTGAAGTAGAATGAGAAACGGGGCTTTCTCTTGTGACAGAATTATGTATTTGAACATTGCATAATAATAAAAATAATTCACTGCATTACAATTTAGCATTCCCATTTAGTATTTTCAACCTTTCGGCTGGCTACAATTGACCTTGTTAGTGTTGATGCATACTTACTGCCAGAGATGCTCTTGCTACCTGAGAGAAATGTGTAACGCCTGCTTCTAATTTTCCTCACCGTTTAATTTTCTTTTGTAGTTTGCAGTGCAATAAGTCCCTCGATAATTATCCTTTAAAGGTGCAAGTTGACTATTTCCATAATATTTCCATAATAACAGGAGCATACAAATCGAATCATTATCGGGAAAGTTTGCCGTATCTCGTGGTTCTGAATGCATTGGTTGTGGCTCACAGTCGTGTCTTTTCTTTCAGTTCTCGCTACAATAGCCTTTGCCTTTCTGCTGCTCCCAATGTGCCAGTATTTAACAAGACCCTGCTCACCTCAGAACAAGTAAGAATTTATAATCCTCCCTGTTAATACGTACAGTGAACATTAATAATGGATGTTGTATTCCTCAATCGCTGACTGTAATTGACCCCTTTTACTATAAGCCAAGGATGGGAAAGGAATGCCCCTTTCTGTGCATGTATTTTCATGTTCATGTTTATATCCAGCGTTTGTACTTGCAGATTTTTTCTTCTTACAAAATTATGTAGTACCATTTAGATGTTATATCAAACCTTGGTTGGCCCACCTTTGGAATACTGGGTGAAGTTCTGGTCACCATACTACAGGAAGGATATTGTATCACTCGAGATTGCAATGTAGATTTACAAGGATGTTACCAAGGTTGAGTTAATACTGTTATCAAAAAAGATTCGACAGGTTAGATTTTTTCTCTTTGGAGATGAGGCGATTGAGAGAGGAACTAGAGGGCCTTACTTACTTATTGTTGATGTTGGATAAGGTGGATGCTGGTTGATAGGCTGTTTTGTGGTGGTGGTGTTGAGTGCAAATCGAGGGCATAAATATAACAGCCAGTAGCAGATCTACAACAACAATTTTAGTAGATCTAATGGGGAGTTTAGGAAGAACTTCACTACTGAGGGTGGTGAGAATTGGAACTCATTGCTGGAAGCTGTAGTTAAAGCAAAAAGCAAGCAACAAGGTATCAAAGCAGAAACTTGATGCTTTCAGCCTCTTTGCCCCCATTCTCTGGAACACTTTTCCCAAATCCTTCGACCTCACTCCCTCCTTTTCTGCCTTCACAACCTCTTTTAAAAACCTCCTGCTTTGATTGAACCTTCAGTTCCCTCCCTCCCAGGCTCTATCTCCCACTCTGATTGAAAAATTCTCATTTTATGCATCCTACATATTGGCATAATGCTAACTTCACGTGTCATAAGCACCCTTTTCTATAATTTACCAAAAGTCCTTGTAATTAAATTCAAAGTTTAAAAAAAATGCATGATCAACTGATGTCAGTTGTGAAACTGCCCTATAACTGATTTTAGTTGATAGGAGTAACTGAGGTTAGTTGATGGTACATTCTTTACTACTCTTTCTTGCCAAGTATGAAACCTGAATTGGTAACCACTATACTCTTATTTCTACTTTTGGAATGTACTTATTTACTAAGACAAACATGTTTGAAATCTGAAATATGATTCCTCATTGATTCCTTCAATTCAGTTCCTGAAAGGCCCATCCCAAACTACCTACCGAACCATGAGAGAAGCCTAGTACCAATTGTAAATTACTGCATTCTGGCTTTCCCCGGCTTTTTGGCAGCTTGATATTGGCCTGAAGGAGCAGGTCAGAAGGGCCCATCCCCATTGGAACCGATCCAAGATGCACACGGGGCATTCCAGCCCTCTCTCTCGGTCAAAATGCAGAACATGATCATGACTTCCAGTTTGTGGTTAGCTCTACACTGCGCCTTTCACGTCGGGAGGATGTCCCAAGGCGCTGGTCAGTCAGGGATTTGGACTCGAGCTGGTGGCTGGGATCAGGAGAGGTGGAGGGCAGGAAGGGTAGGGGTAGGAGGGTGATTGAAGGTGCGGTTGAAGAGAAGGGTCTTGAGACGGGCCTTGACGAAAGCAAGAAAGGGGGCGATGTGAAGGGACTGTGTGATGGAGTTACAAAGGGTGGGGGCAAGAGGATGAAAGCCTGAAATGTTGTAGCTTTTTTTTCCCTGTAGCCAGGAAGAATATTTTTAATAGTGCTAACCAACCCATAGACTTGCCGTCACATTAACATACATTGCAGAACCTGGGCCGAATTTAAAACGCCTTTTCAGGTTTTGAGGTTAATGTTACGCAAAATGTTAATGCAATATGTTGTCTGGCATGAGTGGAAGAAATGGTAATGTGATAATGTGAGCTTTGATAATTACACACTCCATCTTTCAGGCCCAAACGGGCTCAATGCCCACTGGTTAGAATTGTGTAGTAATGTGCATCGCTTAAAGCATAACAATAAATTGAAGGACAACAAAATGATTTCACCAACTTTACTGCAGATTCATCGACCCCTTGCCACACATTTTAATTCTAAGCCTTTCAGTCAATTGAAATGATGTTACAGCAAATCAAGTGCTGATTACTCTATTCATTCTACAGTTTTACATTAGACACGTAAAATTATTCATGAAATTAATTTGAGGAGACTGATTGTGGTGTACAGTACATTTTAATCTGGGAAGAGCAAATTGCGCTCTTTATAGTTTGTAAAGCTGCAGGAATGTGTCTCCAGTTTCTACGTTAAAATATCAAATGCTAGATAAGGGGGGAAATTTCAAATCTTCTCAGTCAATGTTTCGTAAGTACAATCTTGCAAAAAAAAGGCTCTTAAATATGCTTAATCTTCAGCATGGCATTTTACTGTATGTTAGCTCATTGGCCTTTCAGCTCTGGGACCTGGGTTTAAATCCAGCCAAACTAAAGGGTTTGCAGGTGTCTTGTTGGCTGTAAAAGTTCTAGGTGAAATGAATCCGAAACCAGGTTGAATGAAAATAGACAGATGATTTTGGCGCAACTCGGTTCCTATCATTACACATGACCTCAACACAAAACATAATCCAGCACTGAAGTGGCCATTATAAACACCAATCACGAAAAACAAAAATGTCAAGCAGTGCAAAAGATAATACGTTTGCAAATATCTATCAAGAAGACGACAACAATTTTACCTTTTATACAGCACCTTTCACCTCAGGAGGAAGTCTCCGAACACTTCACAGGTTCATCAGGGTGCAAAGTACTTCTAGAGCATGGTCCAAACTTCATTTTCAAATAATACTCCGAAAGTAATTCTAATCCATTTTGTTTGAGCTTGTATGTTTATCTGGCTGTACCCACTGTACTCCAGTGCTATGTCGACCAATAGTATAAAATCCTTGCATTTGACACAGCGCCTTATCTTGTCTTTGAGACGTCTCAAAGTTCTTCATAGGATATATTGTAAAGTGAATTGACAGTATATTTTGTGGGCGTAAGGGGATCATAAATCACAAGCTACTAAAGTCCAAAATGTTTGCGGTGTTATTTTTCTTATTGGCCTTTTTATTGGATTCACTGGTTACAAATCTCACAACCCCATATTTGAAAGCCTGAAGTCCCGATGCATCGCAGCGCAATTGGTGTGTAAATATTTCATTTTAACACCTATTGTCTGCGTTATGAACAGCGCCACCAACAGCACTGAATCGCCAATGCACCATAAATATCCTTAACTGATCCTGTAGAAATTTGACTGTAATCCAGGAACGCACCTTGTGAGACAGAGAGAGAGAGAGAGAGAGAGAGAGAGGTGATTCCTTTGAAGATGAGGAAAATTCGACAAGTCTAATCCCAGCTGGAATCTTGCTCAAGGAGTTTTAGGTCAACGCTATGTGGAGCGTGCCACGATTGTTATTGTCAGTAGCAGAACTTGGGAAAGCAAGCTTTGTTCCCTTATTGTGAATTGTTTTACTTCTGCTTCTGATCACGATGAAAGAAAGTTTTGACTAGCCCATTAAATATCTACAAGTGCTTTTTGCTTTCTCTTTCTTCCACCCCCCCCCCCCCCCCCCTCACACACACACACACACTCTCATCAAATCAATGTAAAGGAATCTTCAGAACTGTAAAACTGTGCAGCCATTTTCTCTTTTTCTAGGACGTGGGATAACATACATGAAAGAATGTTTCTAGGAGTAAATACTTATTTCGCACACAATTGAGCATGAAACCTTAGGGAGAGGCGGAGGGTTGTTTTTGAAATTGAAAACTTTAAAAAAGCGAATAAGACCTTGATTTGTGTCCTCTCAACTGGTTCCCTCATGGGTTATAGCAAAAAGCCTCCAGTCTGTTCACTGTGGAATGAATCTATTATTGCCGTACAATACCAAACTTCCACTTCATACATGCCAATTCCCAGCAGCAGGATGTTGATCTGTGTGACTTCTCTGGCTGGAAGGAAAAACAAACTAATCATAATTCCGGTATTGTTCTTGTTTCAGAATTTCCTTTGGCTGCTGTGGGCGATTCACCGTTGCCGAACTGCTGTCCTTTTCCCTCTCCGTCTTGCTTGTACTTATTTGGGTATTAACGGGGCACTGGCTACTGATGGATGGTGAGTAAAACGACGTGTGGGTTAATATTTCCCTATTGACAACTGAGAGCTGAATCCTTCGACAGTGACGTTCAGTGCGGTTCATCATTGGGGTGGGTGGTGGGGGAGCAAAAGGGAATCTACAAAACATTTCTTTATTTGCTAGATTTTTAAAAATATATATTTTACAGGAATATGTTACACAAGGTGAAATAGAAAGGGACTTGTCTAAAGTTCTTCAGGTATTAGAATCTGGGACCAGTTTCTGTACCCACATGCACGTTTGCAGTCTCGGGCAAAAAACAAAATTGTTGAATTGTTTACACCATTTGTACACGTAATTTGGCCACTGTTTTGACCACTGACTTCATTGAAAAATTATTCTAATTTCTAGATTATCAATGAGATTAATGATTGACTTGCCATGTGCACAAGAGTATATTTGCATTGAATCTAGTTTATAGTTCTATACTTTTACTTCAAAGAAATAAGTAATCCTAGTATTTGATAAAAAAAAACACTTTTCACTTCGGGAAGACATCTCAAAGTGTGGCTACTGTGTATTTTGCAGGTGAACACAGCAGTCAATTTGCACCAACCAACGTTGTACAAACAGTCATGAAGTAAATGACTAATTTTATCTCAGTGATTGTTGGCCAGGACAATGGCTACTTTCCTGTGGACCTTGGTTCTAACCTACACACATTCATTACGCACGGTATTTGGTTTTGTGGGAAACCCTTCATATTTTATGAGAATGCAACCTACGGGTTGCAACTATGTTAGGGTTAAATTATCTGTGGTACATAAAATATTATTCTTGCCTTTTAAACTATTGTTAATTCCAAAAATGCATTTATTCCCTCTACTGACAAAAAGTCATTTGTTCTCGGCTGATTCCCTTGATGGAGATGTGATGCAATTCACTCCCATAGATTTTATTTTAACATGTACAATACCCGTTGAGTCATTTATCAAAAGATGTTTCTTGCTGGTTGAGGTTTAACAGCCTCTGTTCTATGTGCTGGCAGTGAGAAGCGACTTTTTATTTCGACTGAAAAAGGAAATTGAAAAACCAATTGGGAATTATTTGGAGATATAAAATTGTATTTAACCCATTACATTTCCAATGGTTAGGAATCTATTTCTGTTCTGCCATTCCTATTGGGATTGAGCGTTGTGTGAGAATTGTTATTGAGAGCTATAACAACAATGGAGAAGACATTTCTAGATTATCATTTGAGATTAATGATCGATTTGCCATGTGCACAAGAGTATATTTGCATTGAATCTAGTTTATAGTTCTATACTTTTGCTTCAAAGAAATAAATAATTCTAGTATTTGATTAAAAAAACATTGGAAATTACAGTATTCTGCACATCTCAGTGCAAACTGCTGTTTGTATGTTCCAATGCCATTCTGACCATGAAATATACCCTTTTGCAAATCTTTGGTATTGGCTAAAAGGAAAAAAAGCTTCTGAGTATTTCTTGGGTCAGTCATGTGTCTGGCATATGCGAAAACCAGTCACTATGCTTAAGAATCTACAAACCAGGCTGAGAATTCCATGCATCCCACCTGCACTTGGAAATCCCAGAGAGAGATTTGGAATGGAATGCAACCTATGAGTTGCAACTCTGTCCCTGGAGGGACGTATCCTGCTTACCTAACTCTGGAAAGTATTAGGCATCGGTTGGCAAGAGCCACTGAGTACATACATACAGTGTGCTTTAATTTTATCCACCAGTTGTTTGATACTTTAAGCTCATACAGCGCTTGAGGTGTGCATTTTGTGGAACCTTGTACTTGCAGGAAACCATGTGCTTGAAGAGGCAACCTTTGATGAAACCATGAGTGGTCTTACAGTGCAGATGGCTTTGGAATTCAGTTAGTGTTAGAAAAGATAATGAGAGCAGTTGGATGATGGCATAAATCTGACTTTTGTGTATTGCAGTGGTCGTTATAAAAGATCAAATGTTCATTGCAATTTCATTAGTAGAGCCAGTAAGAAATTATACAGCTGGCTGGCATCAAGTTCATATAGCATAATTGCCAAGTTGGTATCATGTTCCAGTGTTATCCTGTAGCTCAGTGGTTAGAGCACTCGCTTTGCAAGCGAGAGACCTGGGTTCGATTCCCGGCAGGGTGAAACCATGGGCAAGTTTCCTTACTCCACACTCCTGATAATAATCCCTCAAGAAAAAAATAATAATAATAATTTGGTCACACAATCCATGACTGTTTGTGGAACGCTGCTGTGCGCAATTGGCTGCTGTGTTTCCCCCACAAAATATACAGTCAATTCACTTTACAGTCTATTCTGTGAAGCACTTTGAGACGTCTAGAAGACGTGAAAAGCGCTATATCAAATGCAAGGATTATTATTAAGGATTATTATTGTTATTCGGTAGTGTCTTGCCCACAAAACACAAATTATATTTCTCTTTGCATGATTGCATAACTGAGTTCAATAATAGGTAGAACAGATGAAAGGAAAGGGAGGGAAGAAACTATCCTCTTTTATTTAACCTGCCATAAGCATCTTGGGGTGACCTCCCAACATGAAATATGGTATATAAATGTAAATTTGTAGTGTATTACTGTATTCTTATAGCCCAGAACCATTCACTGACTGTTTTGGCCTCACTCTGAAATGGAACTTTGAGCTCATTAAAGCTCATTGCCACCGCCTTATATTTTAATCAGCTCTTTGTCCTCTACTCGAGTGCCTAGCTTTCCTCAGTCAAACACTGTAGCTTCTGTAAATGTGAATAAAGTCAGTTCAACGACTTTGTCATTTCTCAATAAATTGAAGTCTGTTGCATTTGTACTAAGTAGCAAAAAGATATTGATAGAACAGTAGACTTCTGGTAGCGTCTAATGTTTTCTTAGTGGCTATGCTTAACACAAAAAAATTAATGCTCTTACTTATGTATATCCAGTCTCTCTCTTTTGCATCTGGTTTGAGCTTTCCTGCATAAGGTGAAACTTCAGATATGCACTACATGGTTATTCTCATTCTTGAATATCTGCCATAATTTTCTGTCTTGTAAGCCACCTTTTTTAAGTGAAAGGACCAGTTAAGTGTTTACCAGTAATAAACTCGTTCTTGGGTGAATTAGCAGTAGTAATAATAAACACATCCTGATCTTACTGAACCGTTACTGAGGAATGATTAAACTGCCGCTCCAGGTTATCTGAGACAGACGCAGACTCTCACAGAACTCATTCCAAGCTTTGTTTTTGTCTCTGAAGCGTGAAGGTAAAGATCAATTTGTCATTTGTTTTGGTGGCCTTAGATTAGTTGGCAATTTCAATCACCTGCGATGCTACGGTGGATAAGTGAAGTTCCACTATAGCTTATTCCATTTAGGTAGATGGCGAAATTAAAATCTCTGCACTTCTGTGATAAGAATTTGGAAATTGCAATTGCACTGAAGGAAAGTGCTTCCGTTGGCAGTTTGGCTATGAGCATGTCTGAGATGAAGCTACCTGCAAGCCTAATGGGTACGGTGAGCCTAATTCGACAAGCAGCACAACTTCCTTTTTGCTGGTTAAACTCGAGCAGTACCCCCAGAATGCTTTGAGGTCTCAAAACCTTTGCTGTTGCCAACTTGCACCTAAAACTCTCGGGAATTAGGTAAGCAGAGTCTGTCCCTCCATATTAAATGAACAGAAATCATACATTTGTGGAATACTCTGTATTTTTATTTGCAGTTGTGTGTGTGAGAGAGACCCTTCCAAGCCACATTTCCCTTCAATATTGTTTTATTTGGCCAGAAATAATTGAATTTAGATTATAGCAGCACCAGGAGTTCTTTAAATCCTTCCCTTGTTTCAACCACAGATCTCAACCGTTATTGTGTTCCACATTTGGACAGTTCTGGTCACCATACTACAAGAAGGATATTGTACTATTAGAGAGAGCAGTGTACATTAACTGGTATTAACGAGGGATGACTGGATATAGCTATCAAGAAAGATTGGATGGCTTTTCTCTCTGGAGATAAGATGATTAAGTGGGGACCTGACAGAGATGTTTATGAAAGGATTCAATAAAGTAGACATTAGTAAGATGTTTCCACAAACAAGTAGGTAAAAATATTAGAGCCAGTGGGGAGTTTAGTAGGAATTTCTTTACACAGAGGTCGGTGAGAATATGTAAATTGATTTTGGAAGCTGTGATTGAAGCAAAAAGCTGTTTAAGAGGAAACTTAATGAATACAAGAGGGAGAGGGGATTGTGAGAGATGGAGGTTCATGTGGAGTATAATCCCTGGGACAGCCGAGTTAGGACGAATGGTCGGTTTCTGTGCTCCAAAATTCTATGTAATTACCTTTGTATTTCCTCAATGTCTGCTCTTGAAGTCCAATAATTTTGTGTGGTTGTCCTTATCACTTTATACCAGATGCTCAACTGTTTATGGTGTAACTAGGTCATTGCTGAAGAGTAGATGCAGAATTGCCTCTGACTGTCTTGGCTGTTTGACAAAGTAAGAAGGAAGCAACCGTTCATTGCCTCTATATAAACATACGCTACTTAGTTTTTCTCACATATTTGACTAGGAAAGTTTGGGATGTTGAAATCCCTCATCATTGTGCTCTAAACAGAGTTGAATTGTAAAGCAGAACAATATCCATTCCAAGGTATTGCAACACAGACATGTTGGACCCTATGATTTTTAATGCACCAGAGGATGTGGTTTAGATTATTTTATCTTAAGAGAAGTAAAAGCCACTTAGTTTTGACCGAAGATCCCGGAACATAGCATAGAATGAAACCCCAAAGAAGGTAAAACCTGTTTTCTAATGTTTTCTTCCAAGTGTTTTTCTCAATTATTGGGTAAATCAAAAGATCACATTTGTGGGATGAAGTGAAGCCAAGGAGGCATTTGAAATGAGAAGTGAGGTTCTTGAATTTGAGGCATTGGGGAGCCAGTGGAGTTGAGTGTGAATGGAGGTAATTCTAAAGGATAGGGATTAAGTGATATGGGGATAGGGCGGGTAAATGGAATTAGGTT